TAAAAATTATTTCTTAATAAAATTATAAATTTTAATATAGAGTGAAAATTTTAATTTTCACTATATTTTATTAATAATTTAGTCTCTAAGTTATTACTTTTGATTGTCACTGTAAAACTATTAATAATTATTATATTTTAAATTAATAATATTTTTATAAGTTTAAATTATTATATATATTATTATAATATTCTTTATTAAATACTTTATTTATTTAATATAATTATAAATATTTTTTTAAGTATATTTATAATTAATTATAATTATTTTTTAATAATAATTAATTAAAATTAATTTTATTATTATAAATAATTATAAAAAAATTTAATTATCATTAATTATATAGTAATTTGAAAAAATATTTAAATTTTTTTTAATTTAAATAAAAATTTATAAAAAAATAATTATTATTTAAATAACAAAAAATATTATATAAAAAAATAATATATTTAATAAAAAATCTTAATAATATCTTTTATTAAAGTTCAAAAAAATTTTTGAATATAATTTTAATATTTTATTTTATAAGAATTTTTAGAAAAATTTTGAAAAAATTAATAAAATTTTTATTATATAATATAATATTTTAAAAAACTTTTTTATATGTTAAATATATATAAAAAACTTTCTATATTAATTTTTTTAATTTAAAAAAATAATTTTAAATAAACTTTTTTATAGATATTAATTTTTATATAAATTTAATTAGTTATTATTATATAATTACTTTTTAAATTTATCTAAATATTTTTTTAAATTATCATAAATAATTATTATTTATAATTAATAATAATTAATTTTAATCAAATATAAATTAAAGATTAATATAATTATATTTTTTATAATTATTTATAATTAATTATAATTAATAAATTTAAATAATAATTTTAATTAATTTAGTTATAATTAATTATAATTATAAATTATATCAGATTCATTTTGATTAGATCAATAAATTTTATTAATAAAGTAAGTGATAATAATTAATTTTCAATACTTGAATATTTTTTAAAATCAATTCTATTTCTTTAGTTTAAATAATTCTTAATATAATTTTAATAACTTTTATCTAATAATTATAGCATGAGTAGCTAAGTAATATTAATTATATTTAAAATCTATAAGTTTTGATTTTTAAATATTATTCAAAAATAATTCTTTTAAAAAGAATAGAAAAAATATTTTTTGAAAGTAAAAATCAAGATGAATATAATAAAAAAGATTAAAGAATTTGAATAGATAATTTTATATATAAATATAGAACTCTATTTTAATTCAGATACTTTTTAATCAGGCAGTATATTTGAAAATAAATAAATATATTATGAAAAGAGATGAAATTATCTTTAAAAATCTTCAAGTAAGCTTTTGTACAGATTGTTTATTGCCAATATCATGAATAGCTCAAGCTATTTTTTTTAAATATATATTTTTTCTTGATTATTAAGATCTTATAATATTTCAGACTGCTTGTTTTCCTATTTTGTACTGGTAAGAGATTATTGAATTATCATTGAATTATGGCATATTTTTCTTGCAGCTTGCTTGGTACTTATAAATTCAATAAAAATTGCTATTTTACCTGTCAATGCCAGTCAACTGAGTATGATAGATTATATATAACAAAATTTCGACTAGTGCATGTTTAAAATAAAAGAAGAAATAAAAAACTTAGGGTCAACAATAACAAAAAGATGTATATATTTGTCCATTTTGTTACACTCGCAAATTGGGCGTTACTTTCTGTGGTGACTGACTCATATCATGTAATTTAAATTTGATTTAAAACTTAATGCGCAAATATAGGATCGACAATCTCAGATTTAATTCATAGTACATGTGCATGTACATGTATGACTCATAGTAAGTAATTTAATTTATATGACTAAAATCTCAACTTAAACTCGTTTTTATAATATTTGATACCAACTAAACAATCGTCTTGATATTAAAATGCGTTCAATCAGATATGGAGATAAATTATACATATATGTAAAATAAGTCTTTGTATTCATGACAGGAAATTTTCACATACACAAAAAAGCCTTTAATAAAAAATTTTTAACGGTCATATCTGGATTGCATATAATTAACTAAAAAACCATTTATATACGTCATATAGTTTAAGAGACAATGCTTATATGGTTAGATTGGTCCTTAATACTGCTTACGTGCATTCTTACAGCTTTTCCTTATAATATGTAATTATCCTTTTTAATTAAATTATTGGTTCTTCACAGGATAACGATGCTGCTTTAAATGCAACTTACTTAAATGTATTATATACAATATTTCTAAGTTCGACTGTTACTTTATATGTGGCGATAATTGTATGTACGAATAAATTTGCTTTGACCCATTCACAAATATTAGCGTTAGTATAAAGCCAAAAATATCGGGGGGCTTAGAGAATGCTGTATAGAACTGGAAATAAAAACAACAGCTGTATAAATATGATACTGATAATATTTTATAATACAAAATACGATATAATTTTATATTAAGAGTCTTTCTTCGTAAGAAAACTATTACTTTTTTGAGTTCCTACTGTGTTCTGGTGACACGAATAGTCGCGGCATATTGCGATCTTTTCGTTAATAATCAATTATAATGAAAAAGTTCCACTATATATATCCTCAAAAAATTCACTTCTTGTTATTTTTAAATCACTCAAAATCAATAATGCAATCTTCACTAAGTCAACTACATTCAACTGGACATATAAATTTTATTAATGGAACGACTAATATCTTCAACCAGCAACCATCTAAGCAAATATCTCAGCAATTTACTCCACAGCAGCAGCAATTATCTCGGCAATTTTCAGCTGGGCAGATAAATTTTATTAATGGAACAAGTAATATCTTCAATCAACAACCACCTCCGCAACCAACTCAACAACTGCTTCAGCAATTGCCTCCAGCTAGACATGTAAATATAGTGCAACCTCCACCACATCAACAGCAATTAACTCGACAACTTTCAACTATACATATAGATTTCATTACTGGAACAACTAATATTTTCAATCAACAACAACCTCAGCAATTGCCTCCAGCTGGACATGCAAATATGGCGCAAGAGTTTATAGCTGGAATCACTAACATATTTAGTTAATTATATTTGATATTACTGTTAAATTTTTAATACTCAGTATTTGTAAAATTTCGATATTTGAAATCATTTCCTTGTCGTTTATTTAATTCTGATTATTTACCCATTCACATTTTTTT